TCGTTGACGAAAGTAAAAATGCTTCGTAGTCATACATTTATCGAGCCGATTTGTGTGACTACGAAGCATTTTTACCTTCGTCAACGGAAGCTAAAACGGAAATTTGGAGACGAACGGAGGCCATGGAATGATTCACCGACACCCTCTCTTCAAGCTGGTGGTGCTCGACTCGCCGGAAAGGTTACCGTTCGGCCGGAAAAATCGCGATTTTGAGCCCTCACGACCAGCTCGTAAGTGGCACTTAAGTGATTTTTTTTTTGGAAGTTATGGCACTCAAGTGAGCCAAAAAAAAGTTATAGCACTTAAGTGTCCTCCGTACAAAAGTTATGGCACTTGCGCTGTACTTATCCCCATTATTTTCCATAAATGGGGTCAACCCCATCTTTTAATTAATGTTTGCTCCAGCATGACAGCTGGTTTTGCTACAAGCTCTCAAAAAGACGACCCTGTCAGACTTTTTCCCAAAGAAATGCCGATTAAGGAAATGATTTGCAATAGTAATTAGGAAAAAGAAGAACTATACCAGCTCAAATTGACCAATGCCAAACTGGTACAAGAAGAAATAGAAGAGGGACACAACAGATGGAGATGAAGCACATGGAAGAATACCTGTTTTTCTTAGTAATATTCAGGCCTACAATGGACAACTAGTAGGGCTTGGAAAGGTTCTTCGTCCTTTATCTCTTACTTTGGTTGTGTCCCGAGTGCTCTTCTTCGCCCAAGTTCTCTTCTTCCCCTCTGCAGGTTGCTCTCTTTGTTCGAGTCCTCCGCTTCGTCACAAAGTCGAAAATTGGCAAAAGCATCGACATTTGCCATCGACGGAGCTGCAAGGTTTCTGGGCGTGCGCGCGCCGAAGACTTGGTGCAGAGGTTAGTTCTCACCTGCAATATCTGTCTATAAGCTTAAATGGGTCACATTTGCCAAATCTTCCTTCTCTCAAATGGAAGACTGGTTTCCTTTTCCCCGAGAGATGGTGTACTTGGAGTTGTAGGGAAACGACTGTTTATTGACTGGATTGTTGGTAAGCCTTTTAGCTAGTGAAATGAAGTGTGGTTAATCATTTTGCATCACCTTGACAATGGAAGAAAGAACAGGTTTCATTCTAAAAAATCTGGTCGCGTATGCTATTGGAGAGTGGAAATTCCCACTCGACAAGCTGTTTCAGAATGGCTGGTTGGTTGTTCGTGCGTCTCCCTGTCATGTTTTGGGCTCTCTACTCGTCTGTTTTGATGTCACCGTGTAGACCAAGTTAAATGTAGTTTGGAAAGTGCAGACCTTCCATTGTTCATTTTTTCCTTAATCATGGGCTAAATTTTTGAAGAAGAAGAACAAGAAGACCCGTAAGGAGATAAAAGGGGGAAGAAAACCGGCCGGGAGCAAGATGAGTGGTTATAAGTGCTACTATTCATCTTGCTCAGAAATCTATTTAATCATCATAACTATCTGCTAGATCTAAATGAGTAATTAGGTTGCAATATACTCGTAATTTAGCTCCATTGACTATTTAGATGCTTTTTCATAGAATAAGATTACGTGTTATGATTTTCCCTTGTGTTATGCGCTTCTGTCAAGAGTATTTCTAGCTTAGATGATGAAGCGGTCTCCATAGGCTGGATGGTGTTTACCATCAATTTAACATGAGCACCGCTGTTAGAACGATTGTATCATATTTCCAAAAGTTGAGACATGTGACCGAACCCCGATGATACGCTTGTGCTATTATTTCCTGTGGCCTGTGGGTGGACTATATACAAACTATTAAGATAAATGTAGAATAGTCCTGTTTATCTTGAAATTGCGATACATTGAAAAAGACGCCCAATATCGTGTGTACATCTATTCATCTTAACATCCTAATTCTTTCCTTGTTTCAGAGAGAGCGTCGTCGTCAGGAACGCGAAGCTGCTCTAGCTAAGAATTCTGGTGCCGCATCAACATGGAATCAACTGGATGCCATGTCTCCCATACTGGAGATCTGTTCTTTTTATCTTGACCTATCCATACAAGATGTTCACATCATTACCAGGAGTTCTGATCGAAATCACTGAACATGCTCTCTTTACAAGCCACCGGTTGATTACCGTTTCTTCCTGATTGAATGTGCAATTGCAGCTGTACATATAATTGTTGAATTCTATTGACATTTCACTATGGTAGGTTCTACCGATTCGATCGAACTGATTCTCCTGATAATGCTAGTGCAGTCGATTTCTTTTACTCCATACGGGAGCTTTTGCAGAGCTGTTTTTCAACAAATCTATTACTTTCTATCTCGAGTTGCCTTCTGTAGTATCTTTTTGTGGGCTGAACTTAACAAGCTTCCAAATGGGGCAAAATTCGTAATACCACGGGTCCGAGTGTGTCCTTTGCCAAGATAGGAACCTTCTCCAGTGCATAATAAAGTCGAAACACACGACTCAACTGGTTTGACATTAGGCTGTTCATGAGGATTGGCTCTTCTGGCGGCAAAAGCTTGAGGAGTTCTCTGGAAGTAAGACTCGAATCTTGAACCGCGGGTGCTGACATGGAGTGCAAGGAAAGCAAAGGTACATGTGCCCCTGGAACGTGAGTATGCTCCTTTGGTAGGGCAAGTAGCGCTAGCAGTTGCACGAATGTTGCACGCATGTTGCACGAATGTTGCACATGTGTTGCACGTATATCTCCCTTTGATTATACATTATCTTGATTGAGATATTATCTTAGAATAGTAATCTAATAAAACTTATAAATAGGCTAATGTATTCTTCGTTAATATAAACATCACAATATACACAAAATTTCACATTTCTCTCTTTCACATCTCTTCATTATTAATAATAGCTACGAATTAATATCTAAGAATTACTAAATGAGAAAAGTAAATATTAAGTATACGGAGGATATGAATTATGGACTATCAATCTTTTTAATGTTTTATGATCATGTACACCACTATTAAGCTTTTTTATGTACACATTGAAAAACAAGTTAGTCTCTCATTTCGAAAAAGAAATTTTACTTGGCTCTTAAGGGACCTGCAAAATTATCAGGAAATGAATCTGATGGAAGCAGTTCTTCTGCTGGAACGGCGCAGGCAGATACGAAAAACAAAATAGACGATAGAATTCATAAAAATTTAAAGGATGAGATGGCTGAGAGTCGGGAAAATGTGAAAGTAGAGATTTGGGAGTCGGGCCGGGCCTGCACGGGTTACGGTGACACCCCTAGGTGGTTACACCGACCTCGACTTGAATGCTCCTAAGTGCCAGCCAGAACCGTGCGGAAGCATGTAAACGATTAAGTATGTGATCGCATATGCCTGTCTGGCCGTGAACATTCCGTATTTGCTTTATGTCATTGCGTTCTTCCTCTGGCTTCTCTTCCGAGAACGTCATGCGGCCTGGGATTCGCCGGAAGCAGGACAGCCTCGGAATCCTGCGAACCAAGGTCAGCACCACGTGGTAAGCCTCATCTTAATTCTAGTTTGCCTTTCTTCTTGCTATCTTAACATCTCATTGAACTGAGAAAAACGACCCTCCGGTTTTCTCCTTCTGATCTCCTCTTGTGGTTCTTTTTCGACTTCGGCTTGCGCAGGTGACCCTATCATTGATGCCCGGAGAGCGTTACCCGACCCACATTGCCCAGCCGGCACCTTTGGCCCGTCCAAGGGAAGGCATCACTTGGCCTGCCCATGAAGTATAGTATGGGTTGCCCTTCTTAATTAGTGCACTCTCCATCTCTCTTGTATATATCCTTAATGAGCGGGCACGGGTACTTATTTAGCGTGATTTAGAAGGAAGTTTACTTGCAAACATTTAGGTCTTCAGAAATGTAAGCTTTTCCCTAAGCCATCATCGTGGCCGATTTGTCGCTTTCATATATATAATATATATTAGTTTCCTTATTTCAATTTGAAAACATCTTCGCCGTATAAACATGACACGTCTTTAAAGTTATTCTTGTTTTCACATGAAAAACGGTTCTTATACCAGACAACCCGCGAAATTAGTTTCGAATCATGAGAAAAGTTTACATGCCTTTGGAATTCGATATGGGTGAATATCTCTTAAAGACTTTTTGTTTGATTCTGAATAGAGGTCGTACACCAATTGCGATAAGATAGGCGAAACCAACTTAAAAGGAGCAGTAATAACTCACTCTTAACTTCATGGTTTTTGAGCATGATATGATATGAGCACCTCAATCAAATGATACTCAGTAATATCTTATGAGTTGCAATGCATATTTCAGCAAAAATTGATAAAATAATGATTATATGAATATTTACGTACACAAATGCTATAGTTCATTTATAGGAAAAAAATGTGCTTGAAATGCCTGAGCAGGGAAGCTCTCCGTATTCATTGAGGAGGGTCGTGAACAACTTGGACTTGTTCTCGAAAGTGAGTTGAAAGTGAGTTTTTTCTCGACCCAATAAATCCCATCATTATTATTTAGGTTTCGCTCTGTTACATTCATTTTAACCTACATTTCAAATCTTATCACAATTCAAACATGACTGAACTCACTATATATGAGTTAAAAGTATGGATCCACGACCCGTTTTTGCCACCTTTACTTTCATAAAATTTACTAACGAAAGTTTGAATCTTGAAATTAATTTCTTGGGTTCGCTTTGTAATACACAAAGATTTGCTCTAGCTCTGCTACTACTAGAAAATTGTTGCCAAACAATGGCGCAGCCAAAAACTTAATGGGGAATTTATACGAGTGGATCATCTTATGGATAATATCTAATTATCTAAATACCTAATTGAAGTTTACGGAGCTATCATTCCATATCGTTTTTCAAGCTTTATCCCCCTAAAAAAAAACCGATTATTCTGGGCCGTTGTTTGTTTAGATTTGGATTTTGGATGGGGTGGATATTCGAAGGCTAGAGAAGAATCGGTTTGTGTGGTAACTGATGATGAAAATCCAAAAAACGAATTTTTCGGCGAAGAATTCGCAGATTACGAAATGAATTAACTATTAACAACCTGTGGTTATCCGATAATCACCCTCCCTATTTTCAGCATTTTCTCCCGTAAACACTAATTAACGTAAAAAGAAAACAAAAGATTAGGAAGAACTAGGTCGATGTGCATCGCCTTGTTTTCTGTTCTTGCCCTGTGAAATTGAACGAAACTTCCATATCAAGAACGTTGAAGGATATGGGAGATGAAGGCAGTGATGGCGGAGGCGGCAGCGATGTGTCGTCGCCGAACAACAAGGTCAAGTTTCTGTGCAGCCACGGCGGGAAGATTCTGCCGAGACCCGGCGATGGACACCTCAAGTACGTGGGTGGCGAGACACGCGTTATCTCCATCTCTCGCGACGCCGCTTTCTCCGGTGCCTTTCGGTTTTCCCTGTAACAATTTAACGTTGGATTTGTTCGTGTTATGTGAAATTCTGAGCACGTTTGCTGTTTTGTTGTGACAGATTTAATGAAGAAACTGACTACCCAGATCGGTGCGGACATGGTCCTCAAGTATCAGGTAGCACTGGAGGATCTCGACGCGCTGGTGTCGGTGAGATCGGACGAAGATCTCAAGCACATGCTCGATGAGTACGACCGTCACGAGAGCAGCGGAAACCCGAGGCTCCGCGCCTTCCTGTTCCCCGCCAATCCGACCGTGATCGAGAACCAGATGGCTTCCGTGGAGCCGCAAGCGATGGAGCAGCGCTACATCGACGCCATCAACGGCATCGTCCGGACCGTGCCTAATGTGAAGATCACCCCTCTTCGGGTGAACCATACCGGGTTCAGCATATCCTCAGCCTGCTCATCGCCGAAATCGCTGTCTCCGGACAGCGGCCGCTCAATCGACGCCACGGCCCATGAGACCATCACGTTGAACGGATTCCACCATGGGAAGCGGCTCCCGATGAGCAAGGTCCGTAGCTCACCTAGCCTGTGCAGCCTCGGTAACAATGCCCCGCCGAATAACAACCTCGGCAACCACCAATGCGTTCACCAGCACCACCATTATCACTACCCGAACTATTACAAGCAGCAACACCATCCCGGCTACTACCAGGCCGCGAGACCGCCTCAGGATCCCCACAAAGGGATGGGCAGCGAGCGGCTACACCCGACTTTGTCGATGGGAAGGGCCGAGATTGGTAGGAGCTATCTGGGTCAGGGATTGAACCCGCATTACGGGTCACAAAGGCATCACGGGGCCAGCAGGGGAGGTTACAACCACTGCGGTTACTACGATGAGTGCACCGGTTACGCGAGCGCGAGGTTCGAGCGGGCGGATAGCCTTCCGGCTAGTCCGAGAAGGGCCTATTGGGATGGATCCTACTATAAAGGGGACCTGCCGCATTGACGACGTGACTGGGATCACCTGATTTGCAGATGGTATGACTGAAAATACTGTACAGCAAACTTTGGATTTTCGCTCTCCTGTATTTGTACATGAATTCAAGATCTAATATAGCATTTCAAACTATGCATACTTGAAGTTTCTGTGGAGACCTTTCACGGTTTTCTGGCCATTGGGACCTAGTTGATGAAGGGCTGGCTTGGTTTTAATGGCCCAGCTAAATCATCTCATAGATGTGTGGCCTCATTTTGACCAGACAAACCTATGTATTTATACTTTCTAATCTTGTAAAGTCTTGCTTTTAGTTGGTTGTTTAAATGGAATGTTGGGATTACTCCTAAACATTGTCTGGAGAAATTGAAAGCTGGGTAGAGACAACTCCTAGATGGCAATAAGCTAGAACTAAGGTTCTTTACTTGCAGTCTGATTCTTTATTAGTAGTGCAAATGGAATATAATCACTTTTCTAATCATTTCCCCTGTTTTCAATTTATCTAATCAAATTTAGAGATGAGCAACCAAGCCAATTTAACCCTGAAATTGGCCCGACACGGGGACCGGTTTGGTCCCTGGTTCATGGATCAAGTTGGGGCACGCCTAGCGACTAACTAACGATTAACTTTTGCGATATAGAATAATATTTTTTTTAAATGACATTACATCATCATGATTCGATAAGTATATAGATAAAATTGAAGCATATCTTTTCGAGGTAGGACGTGATCGATCATAATTCTTAAGATGAGAAAAAGACGATCAAGACAAAAATGAATTTTTAATGAATTTAAATATAAAACAACATAAAATTCTAAATATGTGAATTTAAAGGAAATATGTTAGATTGTGAGGAATAAAATAAAAGTAGACTAAATTTAAAGATACTCTGTAGCTTCAATAAAATATGACTAAGCCCATAAGTGCAAAAAGAATGGAAGGAACGTAATTGGTGCCTTTAAACTCAAAAAGATTTTAAAAGATAATTATATAGTAAAATAGAAATACATAATTGTTACATAATATGTATGCCTTACACAGTTCCTTTTTTCTGATATTAATAAAACCAATTTAATGCTCAAAAGTCACTGGTATAGTTTTCATTAAAAATTATAGCACTGTAAATAAACTTGCAATATATATCTCGCATGACATTTAGTTCACTATTTCCTAAGGAGAACCAACTCTAGCTTGCAGCACTAAAGTAGCTCAATGTTGCAACCATGATTGATTGTACGTGCAAAATAATAAAAGAGAAGAGATTGTAAGGAAAGCTGGCTTAGAATTTCAAGATGAATAAGAAGTAAAGAGTTAAAAAGACTAAATTACGTTGCAAACAGATTGTTTGTTCGACAACAGTGTTGCCATCTGAATGTATTATATAGATCATGATTGTTCGGCGTTGATGGATCCTAGATAGTGGTCTGCCAAAGGGAAGTTTCAATCAAGATGATATGGGAAAACTATCAAATAAGTTCAAAATCTATTCCATTAGTGCCACTTTAGTCCTAAACATTTCAATTTGGCTAATTTAGTCATAAAATTTTTAATAATTTATGATTGTAGTGTATCCGGTCAATTTTGGCCCGAAATTAATTAAGTGAATGCTAACCATTCTACGTGGCACAGCCGATACTGACGTGAAATTTTTTTTAATTTATTTTAAAAAAATTCTTTTTCTCTTTTTTTGGAGTTAAGGGATGGTAGGGGCCGTCGGCCATCAACCGAGGCCCGACAACCCCCATTGGGCACTAGGCAAGGGCCTATGAGCTCTCATGGGTAGCTAGCGAGGATCGCAACCCTCGCCCAATGGTCAGCGAGGGCTGCAAGCCCTCTCCCAACCATGGCGACGGCTCGCGGTCCTTACCTAGTTGTGAGCGAGAACCGTGAGCCGGCGCTAACATGAATATTTTTAATAATATTTTAATATTATTTTAAATTTTTTCTTTTCTTTTTTTTCCTTTCCTTTCTTTTTTTTTCCCAACTCCTAATTGTGGGCTGGCTACCATCGATGGCTGAACCTCGTCAAGTCAACCACTGGCGAGGGCCTCACCGCCTCACCGGCCGACAGTTAGGAGTTGGGAAAAAAAAAACAGAAAGGAGAAGAAAGATTAATTAAATAATTCAAAAAAATTTAAAATATTATATAAAAATGTCTACGTGCCCATGTAGAACGAGCGACATCCATCTCAACAATTTTCAATCAAAATTCACCGGAAGGACTGAAAAGATTTAGAACTTAATTTTGCAAAAAAAAAAACTTTAAGACTTAATCGACACAATTACTACTTTTTTGATAATTTTTCCCGTAAATTACACATTTTCCGCTTCTCTAGGACATCGAGTCCTTGGATTAGTATATATCGATATATGTAAAACAGAGATTCAGGGCAACTGCTCCAGCGTCAACACGTGGTGCGTCCCTTGTCGTTGAGTGCTCTCGATCTTTGTCCGTCCTTTCCACGTGTCTTGACTTTTGACCTTGAATTTCTCCACGTGTACAAATGAAGGCACGTGCTTACATTTCATTTGTGTGATCTATATTTTATTGTATTTAACTCTACGTCCTCAAATATATTATATTTTTCATTTATTATGACCGATTATAATCACTAATAATCGGAATTTTTTTAAAACAACTTGTAATAAATATTATTTGTCAACGGTTAGACTAATAAAAGCTTCTGTCGAATATGATTTTGTCCACGGTCGGACAAAATGGAACATTATTATCTAAGAAATATTGCTATGCATAACTATTCAAATGCATATTCAAAAAATCCATATTCAAATAACTGGAAATTGCTTACGTCGAATACAATTTATTATGGTTGTGTCGTTATGCAATATACGAGTACATTAGATGGATCTACTCAACTCCTCTATATAGCACTAAGCTCACTAAAAATTATAAGATAACTCCCATTGAGGTGTGACATCGCTCTAATGTATGCAACCTTAACAATTTCTCAGGTGCATATTCCAGGGATTTTTTATGATATACAAATAGTGAAAAGGAAATGGGAAAAAAAATTCATATTTATCGAAATATGTTTTTTCGGTAAATAAAAAATGAATAATATTAGATCCAATTGTCAAGGTGAAAATCTCTTTAAGTTGATAAGCCATTAGTTCAGACAAATCACATTGTAATTATGCTACCCTGCTGTTACAGAGACCTATTATGTGACACATAACATAAGCTGGATCCGCACTATGTTTTCATGAGCACAAAATCTCTACATCTCACTTGCCCAAAAGATCTCCCTATATCATGCAGATCATTTAGTCAGTAGAAACCAAGAAAAGAAACTTGCATCTTCTATCTTCCTGTACACATATATACTCACTCTCCTACCCAAATGTTTAAGCAACTGTAGAATTTCGACGGGCGATGATCAGTTACTCGACTTCAAGGAGCAGCTGGAGAAACCGCCGCGCACCAACCTCTGTTCTCTCACTAGCTGTCGGTGAAATCTGCGTCGATGACATCTCCATCTGGGCCCGTTTCGCTGGAGGAGTCCGAAGGCCCGGCTCCGGCACCTGGTGCCGGACCTGCACCAGTGGCACCAGGTTGGCTATACAGGGACTGACCAAGCTGCATCACCTCCTGGTTAAGTGCGGCCATGGAGTCCTTGATGGCTTGGGTCGAACCACCTGATATCGCATCCTTGAGCTCCTTCAATTTGGCCTCCACCTTCTCTTTCACAGGGCCAGGGACCTTATCGCCCAGCTCCTTGAGCTGCTTTTCGGTCTGGTACACCACGGAGTCTGCCTGGTTCTTTGTGTCTATGGCGTCCCTCTTCTCTTTGTCCTCCTTCGCAAACTTCTCCGCTTCCTTCACCATCTTTTCCACCTGCCACGATCAACCAGAACATCCACATCATCTGTGAAATCAAACTAGACGAAATGGAATAAGACTGACATAACTTCATGTCTGATTTTATTAGTCGATTTATGGAAATGACTACCTCATCACTCGGCAGAGTGCTGGCACCAGTAATAGTAATGTCTTGCTTCTTTCCAGTTCCTTTATCCACGGCAGTAACAGAGAGGATTCCATTGGCATCGATATCAAACTTGACCTCGATTTGAGGGACACCTCGAGGAGCCGGCGGGATACCGTCAAGGCGGAAGCTGCCGAGAGATTTGTTATCCCTAACAAACTCCCTCTCTCCTTGGAGGACATTAATCTCAACACTAGTTTGACCATCAGCCGCAGTAGAGAAAACTTCTGATTTAGAAGTCGGGAGAGTTGTATTCCTTGGAATGATCTTGGTCATGACGCCGCCCAGTGTCTCCAGACCAAGAGATAGTGGTGTCACATCTAAAAGAACAATGTTGCTAACATCTCCAGCCAAAACACCAGCCTGTGATTAAAGAAGTAACCGAGGAATTTGTCGGTTCAAAATGAGTACGAACAGCCATTGATTATTGAATATACACAGAATTCTTTGAAGATATGTAACAACCTGAACAGCAGCTCCAAGTGCAACAACTTCGTCGGGGTTGACGGTGACATTGGGTTCCTTCCCAGTCAACTTCCGAACAAGCTCCTGAACGGCTGGAATACGTGTTGAACCTCCAACAAGGATAACCTCATCCAGATCCTTGAAATTGAGTTTCGCATCTCTTAAAGCAGTTTCCACTGGTGTTTTAAGCCTGCACAGGGAGCATAAATTCTATCAACAAACTGACGACATAACAATCACCTATTGCGAACAAAATTACCTAACTACATAGTTAAAAAATAGAGGCCATGAAGCATCGGGGTGGACGAGAACAAACACAGATGCAGTTCTTCCTCTCAGACACCTATTCTTTTATAGGTAAAGAAAAGAGTAGCATAGGGCACCACGGGCTTGCAAACCCATATACAGAGGGCTTAGAACCAAAACAGCTCACTTATAAGACCAATCACCTGCAATGGCGATCAAAGCATTTACAACAAGACATAGCTTTTACTTACAAGACAAATCATCTACCTGTCAAGTAAGTTCGAACACAACTCCTCAAATTTGGCCCTTGTCAGTGTCTTTTCAATGTGCTTTGGTCCATCTGCAGTGGCAGTAATAAACGGCAAGCTGGACAAACAAAGATTGTCATCAGTGACAAGAATGAGAGAGAGAGAGAGAGAGAGAGAGAGAGCCGGGGGTGGTTATGCATTCCTCCCGGTCATGGTAATACCTGATGTTCGTCTGGGTTAAAGATGACAGTTCGATTTTAGCTTTCTCGGCAGCCTCAGTCAACCTTTGAAGGGCTTGCTTGTCCTTCAAAAGATCTATACCTTCATCTCTCTTGAAGTCTGCAGCTATCCAATCCACAATTCTCTGCATGAT